TATTAATTACATTATAGGTATTTACTCCTACTTCTCAATAATCAATATAAATATTTTAATAGCTACACAGTAATAACTAATTAACACATGTAAATATAGTTCAAGACCTCTTCGTTACTGAATAAACTATTGATAAATACCTACACATTTTGGTAGAATCTTAAAACAAATTTACGCTAGTGCCAAATATTTTAAATTCATATGTGGGCATTTTGCCAATCTGTACATTTTACCACAAATAGATTCATCAAAAACACTATATGATATTCATGTTTATAATAAGTTTCCATTAATGCTATCTAAATCATTTTGATTCAATGAGCTAATTAGCATTATAAATTAATATTTCTTACTGTACATTAGGTAGGTACAATAAAACAAAATTTTAATATTTAGAAATTATAAAATTTAGGTATACAGTACTAATTAGTAAGTAAGACAAAAAATTAAATTAAATCAAAACAGTTAGGTCTACCAGGAATTTTTATAAAATAATTAATATAAAATAATTTGGTACTAATATCATGAACTTTTGGATTAGTTGAACATAATTAAATTATACATGATTATTTAAATTTTAAATAGAATAAYATGGGTTACAGGTTAAAGAAAAAAATTTAATTTATTATTCACTGTATTTTGAAATTATATTATATTAATCTCAACTGATGTTTAAATATTTAAAAATGTAAACTAAAATTAATTTTCAACTATAGCAAGAAAGAATAGATATTAAATACAGTAGAACCTCATTAATCCGGACTTCGCGTAATCCAGACAGTTGTTTAATATTAGGAAAAATATGCAGTATATATTGTAGACTAAAATAAACATAATAGCTACAGAAGAAGAGATTTTTGAAAGCCTCATCGCTGCAGAAAACTCTGAAACAGATGAATACACAAACAAGACGAAGAAGACGATTGTATCAGGCCTAAGCTAAAACTTGGTGAAATTAAAGACCATCTAAATATTGCCCTTAAATATTCTGTTGAAGATAACGATGATGAAAACGTATCTGCATATTACAAACATTTCAGGCATCTATGTGAATATTATTAATACAAGAAATAAATGAGAAAGGAAGACAACAAAAAACTAGCAGTTTTTTCAAACCAGTTATGAAAGTGTGCCTAAATATATAATAATTATGATTATATGCATTACGTTTATATRTCATGTTTTTGTTGGATCTAAAATTATGTTACAATATATCATAAGTAGTTATTAGTTAAATATAATATTCATAAATCTATAATAGGGACATGTTTTTTGGYTATTTTGTTTMATCCGGACTTTCATTAAATCAGACAACCTAGAGTCCCTATTAGTCCGGGTTAATAAGGTTCTACTGTACATCAGAAAATATTTATTTATACATATTAAAATTAAATTTTTGTAGGTATATCCTGCAGAAGAATAAAAGTAAATAATTTTAATAAATTAAGTTCTAACATTAAAAATATCAATGACTTCAACAAATGAAGATTTCTTGTTTTGAGCAACTAMSTATTAAACAAATTTTTTAAATATGTCTATTTTGAATAAAAATCCGATTGAATGTAAATAAATGTTAATTCTTAATACCAATTGATTAAAATTTTAAACCTTGATAAACATATTACTTATCATATTGTCATAGATAATATTATACCTAATAATAGTAATAACTATTTATTGACATAAATTATTTCTTACAAGATCCTTKTGCAGCTCTTTACTGATGACAGGACTCATTTTCAGAGTACCAACAAATAGGAAAAAAATACCAAGTAGAACCGAAAGACTCTTTAGAACTATTGAACCCATTTTTTAATTTATGATTATCTATTTTAAAATTACTACACTGCAGCTACTTTAACGAATTTATATTTAATGGGAATGAAATTTAGTTTTTCTGGTTTGTCAATACGATCTWCAAGCCGCAGGAACTCCTCCTACGCTTTAATGCTTTACAGTTTACCGCAAAATGAAATATTTTTCGCAGTGTGTCCTAAACAAAGATCAACTTTTGAATAACCAAAATATTAGTCTACATTTCACAATAAAACTGTACACRATATATTATGATCAATAGAAAAACGTAACTCCTCGTCAAGACTCAAGAGTATAACCTAAAGTGAAACGTTATTAATTTATTATTAAATATATTGAATGTTTAGTAATTTAGTATTAACCACTGTCTATTATACATACATTTTGAATAATATGTGACAATATTATTTTGAACATAACAATGTATTATGTGTACTCTAGCTATTTAGGTTGGGTACACTGTTGACAAAAAATTATAAGTGATGTGGAATGCGGATAGTGATATTACTGAATACTGCAATAGTGCAATATTATTTTGTCTTCAATCTTCATAATTTTTGTACTGTTTATGTCTGATGACTGAATGTCGTATCCAGTTTCAACTATATTTTTTATGGTGTTTTCATGACCGATCAAATTTCTATTACAGTATATTAGTATTTCCATTTTCCACTGTTCCATCGTTATATCTTAAACAATGTTAAAATCAATAGTTTTAGCCTTTTAAGTTTCTCATGATTATTATTTATTAATATCCTCTGTTAATTTAAATTTTGATGGAACAAAAACGTTGAAACACGCCGGCTCATGCATTTAATATTAAAGGAAAATAATCTACGTGATTAATTGCAATGACCGATTCTGTAAACACTGAGACTATGAACAAATCAGGTACTTAAGTTTGAATATTGTATTTTAATAATTGGTATTAGGTAGGTTCCTATGTGCCATTTCTTACCTATTGACTTCTAATAAAATTATAGGTCAAGAGGATGAGTTCATTAAAAATGGACTGTCAAAAAAAATTGATAAAAATAATGTAAAATGTAAAAAACGTAAAAAGTGTTTACGTGACAAAACAGCTCCAAGGCCTCCACATTCTGGTAACTAATTAATATAAATAATTTTTAGTTATTAATTATGAATCAATTATTTGTCTATATTTATAGGATACATACGATTTTTAAATGATAGGCGTGAACAATTTCGTTCTGAAAATCCCAATTTACCATTTGCTGAAATAACCAAAGTATTAGCTACTGAATGGAACCAGTTGCCAACGGATAAAAAACAAGTAAAGTAAAATTCATTAAAATGCTTTCCTGCATAAGTTGTTGTTTTCTGCCAGTCTTAGACCTTTCCTAAACTAGTTAATGTAAAAACTATCTGTTAAATGGACGCTACATCTACATGTATTATCATTATATATTTATATGTAAATATAAAAACATAACTAAAATTATTGCATGGGACAACTCTACTCCTTTTGAAATTAAAGTGGAATTAACTAAAGTCCACAACATAGGGAACAACCTATCTATGCTATAGTGTTATAATTYTTTAATGGAACTCACCAATGATTTTAAATAACTAAATTAAAAAATAACCAATGAAAAACTAATGTTCTCAAACTAATTAAATTTTATTTATGCTATTCAAATAATAAAAATGCTTCTGGGGGTGGAGTGCCCAAGCGGACTAAGGTGTCGGTTGCGACGCACCCAGTCGCCGATTCGAATCTCGGTCACGGGCGGCATCCAGTGCCGTAACTAGACTACTGGAGGCCCGTGTGCAAACTAAAATCTAGAGGCCCCTTGTTATAGGTACATCATTTTTAACTTGAAATTTTCCTCTTTTTTTTTGGAGGGGAAGGGGAGGTGCTGCTGGATGAACAAATAACAATAATAGTGAATTAGTAAATAGATAAAAAATAACATTGGTCCCATTTTAAATTCTATAACTAATGATTAATATATTTTGATATTTTAATAATTTAATAATATGAATCATTAGTCCTTTTGACTTCTGAGGCCCTCCAATATATTATGAGGCCTGTGTACGGTGCACACTCTGCACACCCGGTTTTTACGGCACTGGCGGCATCACTCTTTGGGCATTTTGCGATGTCTGGAGAGAGAGGCCGCCGGCCCCCAACTGGGCATGGCAGAAACCCACGGGTGCCCATTCAAAATTATGCCAAAAACCCACGAGTTAAAACCTTACAGTACCTTCCCCTACAGTTCCCCAAGCTAATGACCTCAGTTGTCAAAGCCCTAACCATAAAAAAAAAAAAATGCTTCTACGTAGATAAAGTTCTTTCCTATGTGTGGTGGAATTTTGATTATTTTAATGTGAATACAGAGGGAGTAAAATTGTCCTGCAAAACAGTTTTTGCTTTGTTCTACATTTTTTCGATGAAGAAAGCCCATGCGGGTATATTATCTTATAAAGACACTGGGTTTTTGTTTATCTTGTAGGATAAGACTCTTTTGATCAACATTTAATGATAAAGAGAATGTTATACCTACATGTGTTGTCTCAATCTTACAAGTGTGTAACATAACAAATGTTATGCTCAGCA